AGTATGTATCTTTTTCGGAGTGGTATGACAAAATCCCCAGCAAAAATTTTTAAAAAAAGATTTCCCAGATAAAAGAGCTACAGCTCTTTTAGCTGGGAAATCTTTTTTTAAAAATTTTTGCTGGGGACTTGGTCATACCCCTCCGAGAAAATTACATACTCATACTCAGTTTTTCGAGCTCTTTCCAACGATGTAATTTTTATCATGTCTGCAAGAGATAAAATTTTTCGAGGGGGTTGATATGTTTTATGACTAAAATGAAAACAAACAGCTCGAAACAAGTATAATTTTCACCAATTCTTGAACACTTTCAGTGTAACTAACGGATATTTTCTGTCTCGAAATTTTGAGTTGTGAAAAATTTTCAACTACAGGATGGCCGAAAAGTCGGTTTACTGAAAAAACCTCAATATCTCCGTTAGAACTTCTATGAAACAAGCTGATTTTTTTATCAGTGATATAGGTGTGTTCAAAGTTTGTATCCATAAAGAAATAGTTAGAGAAATCCTATATTAAGTACTACTGTTGACCTCAGCAAAAAAATTTTACTTTTTCATCGGTAGGAAAAAAGCAATATATGGTAAAAAAAAGATAGTTTATTAAGGAAAAATGTAATAAATCAGATGAGCTTGCCAGTAATACGTGTTGGGTATTTATAGATGCTTTCTCTTTCTATTTTCTCTTCCTATTTGACTATAATCCACATCGATTCTTCAAATATAAACCTTTCTATTTGTCGTATTATTGTTCATATTTGTCTGCTGTCTATCTACGTGTGTCTCGTGTATTCTCAGTAAGACTTGTTCTTTCAGTGCGTAACTCTTGCTTCGAGCTCATGTGTTTGCAGATGTCGCTATATCTGTGAAAAGAATAAGGATTTTTCGCGTCAAACAACCGTGGATGCCAGGAGGAAATTTTCGAGCAGTAAATGGAGTTTTTCGAAATGAATTTCCTGACAAGAAAATGCCAACTCCACAAGCAATTCACAAATTAGTAAAAAAAGTTTCATCAGACAGTTCTGTCGAAGATTCACCACGAAGTGGCAGATCGACAACAGTTAGAACAAAAGAAAAAGTGCAACTCGTTTCTGAAACTTTTGCTCAAAATCCACAAATGTCTCAAAGACATGCATCACTTGCGCTTGGTATCTCACGTAGAAGTTTACAACGTCTTATGCAAGATCTGAATTTAAAACCATATAAGCCAAGCTTGTTAGGAGCGTTGAACCAGGATGATCCAGATCGACGATTGAAATTTTGTGAATGGATTTTAAATTCAGCTCAAGAAGATCCGACTCTATTAGATCGCGTCCTTTGAATGGAAGAAGCTACATTTCAAATAAATGGTCGTGTCAACAGACGCAATTGTGTTTATTGGAGTGATACGAATCCACATTTTATCATCGAACAAGAGCTCAATGTACCACTAGTGATTATATGGGGAGGAAAATGGGCAAACGGTGTTGTTGGATCATTTTTTTCAAAATAATGTTACATCACAAACCTACCTTCAGATGTTGAAGGACCATACCATACCACAACTTGAAGAACATTCATCTTTTCAAACAATAATCTGGTAGCAAGACGGTTCACCACCTCATTATGGTCAAATTGTGCGAGATTATTTAGATGATACATTTGTACATTGGATTGGTCGTCGAGAAACCGTTGAATGGCCACCACAATCTCCAGATTTAACTTCATGTGATTTCTCATTGTGGAGGATTATGAGAGATGTGTATATGCTCAAAGTCCTCGTGATGTAAATCATCAGAAGTCATTAATCAAATAAGAATTTACATCTCTCAATGATAATATTGAACTATGCAAAACAATCTATCGATCTGTAGCTGATCGTTGTCAAATGTGTATTAACGCCGAAGGAAAGCAATTTAAACATTTACGCTAAACAATTATTTCTTTTTGTTTTGCAGCATGTAAAAAAATATTGATTAGGTATTCTGATGTTCTTTTCTTTTCTTCTCAATAAATAACCGTAAGATACATTTGATAATAAACAAAAGAAACATGAATGAGAATTTACATTTTAGCTTGATAAAGTGTTTTTTCTTTATCATATATTGGGTTTTTCCTACCTGTGAAAAAGTAAAATTTTTTGTTGAGGTTAACAGTAGTACTGAATATAGGATGTCTTTAGCCATTTCTTTTTGTATATAAACTTTGAACACACCTATATCATTGATAAAAAATCAGCTCTTTTGATAGAAGTTCTAACCGAGATATTCAATTTTTTTTCGGTAAACCGAATTTTCCGCCACCCTTATATTACTTGTTTAATATTGACTAAGGCTTGCAAAGACAAATTGAATGATGAATAAAATCGTTAAAATGATTATTAGCTCGCAGAGAACTTAAAATGTTCACAATAGTTCAAGTAAACTAACCGATGGGATCGATGATCCATGTCGAATCATTAGACAACTCTTCTTTGACTTGTTTTGATGCAGATTCTTCACCAATGAATATAAGTATTGAATATATGATGACATGGAGTTGTAACCTTGTTCAGAATTGATTTTTACATAACGATGAGATGGAAACGCTGCTTTCAACTTTACAATTAGAGTATCTTCGACAAATTGATCATATTCAGTGACCAAATCGGAAGCCGGTGATTTTGTTGTGATATGTTTTGGTGGCGAGAATCCATCTTGAACCAACTAGAAAGTAAATAATCTAGAGTTTATAGCTGCGCATTTGTATTTTTTTTGTCATTGTATGAAAATGGTTGATCATCTCAATCGGGATGGGATCGGGGCAGTTCTCTTTCTAATAATAACAAGCTTACATTTTATAAATGATGGAACAATTTTGTTCGCGAAAAGTATACAAAGATCAATCACACAGTGATGATGCTTAACTCTCTGGACATACACTATGTCAGTCTTATTCGGTCTCAATACTCAAATAAACAACAAGGTAATATTCAATTTTCAACAGCAGCCAAGCAATTATGTTTACACATCAAATAGGTGTAAATCAGTATATCACGATTATAAATGCTGTAAATTTTGAGCATTCTTTAATCAATTCCAATTCTAATGATAGATTTCAATAGACAATAATCTACTATACAAGATTTCAAATGAAAATTGAAATACTATCGAAATGAATATTACAGTAAATTTTCTTTTCATTTGCATAAGAAGACATAAGAAATATTTGTTGTTTTCTCAGAAAATATTCATGACTTTGGCTACGAATTTTCAGTATACGTGCAAAAAGTGTTAGAGTTATCTATAACAAAAATATGAGATCAAGCGACCATAATTTCAAGAAACAATTTAGAAAACTACGTGTGCAATTTATTTTGGCCATAAGAGTGTTTGCAGTATTATGATCTATTGAAATCTATCA